TGAAGAGTTGCAGCAGATTCAAACATAGAATGTTGTAAGTTTTTAAATTAATTATTTTTCTTTAAAAAATGTAATTTTTAAATTTATTTGTTTCAAGAAAAATTATATACGAAATATTTTATTTGTGTACAATTTTAACTCCACTTACGTTGATTGTAGTCGATCCCAAACCCCAAAAAATGAGGAGGGTTGTAACTTGTAATAGTCGATCCCAAACCCCAAAAAATGAGGAGGGTTGTAACTTGTAACTTTTATTTAATTTGTTATTCGTATAAATTACGTAATTTTGTAAGGTGTAATTTTTATTTAATTTGTAATTCGTATAAATGATGTAATTTTTAAATTCTTTAAACTTAAGTTAGATTTGTAACGCGGTTAAACATTTTAAAAATATTAAACTATATCGAGAGAGTTTGATTGAAGTAGATTTTTGAGAATATAATTTACTCCTATTTGGTTTGGTTAAAAATTAAAATTTTAGTAAATTTTTATAAAAGTTGATAAAATCTGTGATTAGAAGTTGATCCCGTAAATATATGGTTAAAAATGAATTTAAATAAAAATAAATCTTAAAAAATTGGGATGAAACATGAACTTTATGAAAAGTGATTTTTTTTTTTTTTTGGAAAAATGTCATTAAAAATTAGATAAAAATTGTCAAGAAAAAAACAAAAAAAAAAATCGAACCCGCTCGGCTCGTAAAGGCCCGAGCCGTATTTTTTTGGCCAAGCTTTTGCTCGGCTAAGCTCGGGCTTGAAAAAAGCCTGTTATGTTTTACTCGAGCCGTGCCCGAGTCTCGAGTTTTGGCTCGTGAGCCGGCTCGACTCAACTCGACTCGTTGACATCCCTACTTACTGCTAATGCATCACAAACCCATTATGACAAAACAACACTTTTCAGTGACCACAAAGGTTAGATCTCAGTTTAAATTGACCCAGGCACCACAAGGTTACTTCAATCACCAATGTTCAAAAAATCCACAAAGGAAAAGATGAGGTGTCACTCACAAATAGAAGAAAGAGTTTGTTACTTCACTACACTCACAAAAAAGGTTTACAAAGAGGAAGAAGATAACCTACGTATTTCTCCTCATATAATCTTAAAAATCACACAGGTTCACAAAAATAAAGGAAAAAATTCTTACCACTCTTTCTTCTCACTACCACGTTCTCTCACACTACTCAAAGAGCAAAAGAAGTACGCCACAGATCTCAACCCACTATGCATGCAAATACATTACACGGTAATAAGATCACTCCAACTCATGTAGTTATGCACACAAGTAAACTGAAAGTATAATATATCAACGCAACAGAATGAAGCAATCATACATATGTAAAAAAGGATTACACATAGATGTACATTCAGTAATTAGGTTTACTCTCAATAAACCTCACTAGAGTCATAACTCGACCTGGTAAAAACATTTGCTTCAACTCTCTCATTATTTCCTTATCATTCCTAGGATAGTTTATTTTACTATGTCCAAAATTTACTGCAATTAAATACATCTTACTTTTCGCACTTGCATTAAACCTATATATGTCATCCATACTAAATAATGACCACAAGCAAAGTACAAACATAATTTATATAGAATAGTTTAACAAACTTTTATAAGGTCACGTGTAATTCTAATAGTGTATAAACGATTAGCAACAAACTCAAAAAGAATTTAAGGCAAATAATTAACAAGTAATTCTTAGGCCTAGCAACAGACATTGATTTTCCTTTATGGTAACCCCAATCCTAATATTACCCCACATGATGACTTTTAATGTAAAAAATAAATAATTATCCCACACAATAGTTTTTAACTGCAATAATAAAAGGCAAAGAACATACTACCGAGCGGACCACGTCTGAAGATTCGTAAATATTGAGATTTGTGAATTCACCAATTTAGGACTACTATTATCCACCCAAAAGCCTTAAGCAACCACGATAACACAAAACAGCACCTGAACGTCTGAGGGCAAAATCGTCCAACTTTCATCGTATTGTTCTAAATTGAAATCCAACAACACCGCAAGGTCCGTCTTGTCATCAACAACATTCTGTCTGTGATGTTGTCGATGGAATCCAGCTCATACGTCGACGATGGAGTTGACAACCACGTGTCGCCGCTGACAATCATGCGCACCACCTCTACTGTCCCTCTACTTGTTGAGTCTACCAGTGGTGTCCGTTTCTCCCATTGGTTAGTCGTTTGCCCGAAAAAGAGATTTATAGGTCTGGCCAAAAAATTGTAAAACTGTCCAAATTTCTGTCTGATTTTTCAGCTTCGTTTTGGACCATTTGTAATCGGTTTTTCATCTAAAAAAATCACAGATTTCTTAAAAACACAAGCTTTGATACAATTTGACGTGGAAATCTTCGAGAAATCTTAATCTGGGCTTAGTGATAACTTACCAACCGAGCTCGACTCTAACCCACAACTCCTACACTCAGTTGCCACAAGTTTGCCCCCACAAAAGACAGACTTTTGTGGTGATTAGATACACCCACGAAGGAAGAAAATAATAGAGGTAGCAATGGTTGATTTTTCCTCCAAGATGGTTGCCCCCACATTTTCTATCCATTACGCAGACACACACACGAAACCATGCTGGGAATGTAATGTATATATAATGGATTAATTTCGGTCAACAAATGGGCCAAACCATAAATAACCAAGTAATTGGGCTATTAATATATCACTACCAACCAATAACTTGGGCCATCCACAAGCAACATTAACTTAATTAAGCTGCTTCTAGTGGCTCCAAGTTGTTTTCGAGTCGAGTCATCATTAAGTTGTCGATATAAATTAACATTGTTTAACATTATCGCCCAAAATTTATTGGGTATCAAAATCCAACAATCACTGTTTTAGAATCTACCATTTTGAAGTCCAAGAATTTGCCTACAACGAATTTCTTCAACCGACATCTTCCATTTTGTACTTCTTTCCAATGATTCTTACAATAATTTAGCAGTCTTGACTGAACTGTATACACTGTATAGTATGTAGTTAATGCAATTAAGGATATAGTTCCTGCACAAAAAAGTCACTATGACTCCATGCATTAAATATTGTTCGTTTTTTAGGATTTGTTTCTTTCTCCTCGATGTTTGGAGCATGTTTATTCAAGAATTTCGCCAACTTCAGATTTTTGAGATAAAATCGCATTTTCTGTTTCATCTCTTAAAATCCACTCTCATCAATTTTTTTGATTTTTTCCCTTGAGCATTTTTAAAGGGTACAATAGATGTAGTATTACTTGTCATAATCAAAATTTTAGAATATAAATTAATAGATTTTATATCGATTTTACCATGCCGTGCAATAATTTATATAAACAAATTATTGTCTTAAGATCGTTGAGAAAAAATATCGATTTTACCATGCAATAATTTATATAAACAATTTTTCGATACTAGTCACCCAAGATATGGAGAACCCCCTGCAGGAAGAACAGGGTGAGGAGGCCTCCCTACACTCAGAGGGGGATACGTATTACATACGGATTGAGCTACTACCAGGGAGCAAGACAATGCATTTGGATGGAAGCTAGACATTGAATCTTCTAGTTGTGAAATTCTTAAATTAAATCAATCAAAGAAAAAGGCTGTCAAGGTTTTCGGAAAGAAGAAGCAAATGAAATAGTTCATTGACCCTGTATTTACTTGCACTTATTTCTTCATAAAAAGACCAACTATGTCTACAAGAACCTGCTATGGAGCAAGCTGCTTTCTTATCTTAAAATGTTTTCTATTTGAAAAAATTGACTCTTTCGGTCCCTTCCCTTCTCTTTTGGATGAATGGGGTGCTTTAGAAGGCGCTTTTCGATCTACGATTCCTCAAAGCGAAGGGTTAAATAGGTAGTATGGGCTTTTTGACTTCCAGCTACGTGCTGCCACTCTGGCGAAACGACTAAAGGAAAGCTGGAAAAGCTTATGCTTACTCTCGGCCTCTTTGATTGGTAGGTGGGCGGGCTAAGCCCCCTATTCACTACTATCCTACCGTTAGAGCGAGCTTTCAAGAGAGAGATGCACCATTCCATCTGGAAAGGGCTTTTCATCGAAATGGAGTCAAAATGCGTGATCTCGGCTTATAATAGTAGCACTCCAAATTACACAATTCGGCGTGCCTACTAATGTTTTGATCTCTCTAAATTGGAGGGCCAAAATGCATGAAATTAATATTCAGAATTGAAATGCACAATATAGAATAATACAGGCCGAAAGGATTATATTTTGCAGGGGAGAAAATCATGAAAGATTTTTGGAATGAATAAAACTCGGGATACGTGGACCTATTTATAGAAGTTGAAATGTTGTGTCCAAGAGACCCAACAGCCGAAAAGTTGTGTCTTGAACAAATCCAGCCCATTTGGACAGACAATTTTAATAGTCAATCACCAGTTTCTAGAAGATGTCACGTGTCACTTACAGAAAAATTCGAGGAAATTAATAATATAATTCAAATATTATTTTACCGAAAGTATATATACCAACTTGGTCCAATCCCACGACTCGAGCCAGTGTCGAGCTGGGCGGTTGATGGCGTACTTGTGGGCTTTGACTCAATTTATTAGTATGTAGGTTATCTCCCCTTCAAAGACCATTAGTACTCTTAGGGCCCAAACTTGAGCAATATAAAGTGATTTTTATTTTTCTAGTTTTCCTGTATGGATTGGGACTTTTCAATTTTTCATCAATTCTTATTTCCAATTTATTTCTACTTCAAGTGATATGTTTTTTCCTTAATTTTTCATTCACCCTTAATTGATTTTGAGAAAATATATACATACATCAATCTACTCATGGATTAGATTACGCTCGGCCAAAAAAATCTTTTATCCAACTTACAAAACCCACTTAAATAATGGTCAAAAGTTTGCCAAACCAACTAATTAAACCAATTTTCCAACGCAAAGTACGTAATTGAATTAGACAGAACCATGATTGATCTGAAAGTAAAATCGAATAATTGGCGTTATAATTGAGAACCATAATTTACATTCAACATGCCAAGCCATATGCAGACCTTATTTTTTAGTAAAGGAAGAAAATTACACAATTTTTATAAATAAGTGGCAACAATACTTATTTGTTCCAATACTATGTTAAACAACTTTGGATCTGTATTCCCAGATTTAATGTATTATAAGTAAATCTTCTATGCTACTTCAAAGTGACAACATTATCATCTAAAGTGCTAAAGACAATGCTTTGCATGGAAATCTTTGTCAAAGATCAAACTTTTGATAAGATTTTTAAGCCTTTGAGCACCATAACCTGGTCTAAGTGCAGTTATATTCGGAAGAGCATAATACGCAGAAGATCCATTCGTGTCCTGGCCGTGTCCATCAAACCAACTACCTGGAACATACCCATCAGCTTTGCGTCCTAGAAGTTCAGAATCGATCTTGTCTAGAATAGCTCCATTCCTGCCAAATTTTCTTGCAAACGGGGCATTGCTGTCGACCATTCTCTGATAATCATCGACTGTGAGGAAATGTGGATGCTGCTTCGGAGGGTTGTCCCATGAGATGAAGTGGAGGTCGTGGTTCACAGTTGTGTTTCGAAATTCTTCAGCATTGCATATGACCGTGTGAAAGTAACCTTCGGGTGATGAAAGAAAATTGGCGTAATACATTAACACAGTCCTCGGGAGGTTGTCCCAACCCCACAAACAGAACTCTATGAAGGGTCGAGAAAGCATCATCCAAGCCGAGCCTGAGTAGAAAACGCAAAAGAGACCAAAGTTATTTAGTATTTCTCAGTAACATAGACATTTGATTTGAGCATTCAATACAATTTCTCTTGCAAACTCTGAAATTTACTTGTAGAGAAGTAAATTTTAGAATTATGAAGAGCTTTGAGTTTCCAGTGCATAAACAGAAATTACAGTGCATATTGATTATTAAAGACGTACGTGAATGCAAAAAAGAGCTACAGAAAACCATACGTGGACTAAATTTGACTAATGTTCTCAAACCTGTCCAAGTTTCAAACACTGCTCAATCTTCAATATTCAAAATATCACGAAAAATACGTTGGACCAACATTTCTACACGATTATCTAATTGATTACACCACAATTATCGTACGTGCAGCGACTTGATTATCATGTGTAGTTAAATACATCAAAAGACCAGTGAAAACAGAGTTTACCCTTAAAGATGCATCAAACTTGTGAAAATGGTTAACACGAAAATGAGAAGAAGAAAATGTTTTTATGACCTGGATGTATATTTTATTCAATTTCCATGTATTTATAGGCGAAATTAAAAGATTCAAAAATAACAAAGATGGAAAATTGATAACTCTAAGGGTGCGTTTGATTGTCAATATTTTCCCTGGAAAATATCTTTCTTTTCGTCCAAATTCTTACTTTTGTACTGTTTAATTGATATTTTTTCATGAAAAATATTTTCCTACTTTTGGTCACGTGTCTATATTTTCCTCAAAAACAAGGAAAATGTTTTCTTTAGAAGGAGTGTATTTTATTTTCCAAACAATTTACTCTCTATATCTCTCTCATTTACCCTCCTCTCTCTCATCTACCTACAAATAAAAGATGTATATTATTTTCTAGGTTGAAGAATGAACCAATCAAATACATTTAATTAATTATTTCCATCCAAATTCCATGTTTCTAAAAGATTGAAATTTATAAGATATACATAATAACTCTAATCTAAAATTTAAAAGATTAAAATTTACAAGATATTATCTTCATCCAATAATCCTAACCTGTGAAAAGCTTAAATGCTGTAGGTTTTATTCGTTTCTCCGTGATCCAAAAAAGATCGGATTTTTGCAGGCTATAAAGCCCCGGGTCGATGATCACGGGCGTGGCTCTCTGAAACCTAGCAAATTGAAACATATTTTATAAGGAAACTGCAGGACCACATTTTTTTTTATAATGTGAACAATAAACAAACTAAAATCTCATATATTGTGTTGTCCAATGTTGTCCAATAATGCGTATTCCTTGAAGCTAATAAAATATTTCACAATCGACACGAGGGAAAGGAATACATACTCTTTCCAGCCAATGTCACTAGTGTGCTCAAGAAAATTAAGTTCCCTTGGAATAGTTGATAAAGTATAAAGCAAATCTGTTCCAACACAATAAAACACAAACTCAAGACATCAGATAGTTCAAATGAAGCATTGCTTAATTATTCCAATAACTGCAGCAAACAATTAATCATGTTGAGTTAACATAAAAAATGAGTAAAAATTGCTTTTTAAGTAACTTTTTTCTTGCCCATGTGTCAAAATAAGCTGAAGTTTGTGTATTTTCAACTTAAACAATTGAAGATCCAAGAAACTAAATAAAATCCATTAAAATACTGCGTTTGTCCAACTAGCAATAGAAAAATAAGCATATGATTCATCAAAAATATACCATCTTGAGTCACCAAAGGATAATCAGAAGCACTCAAATTGATAAACCAATCCCACTCTCCACCTTCCTTCAACAAAATGGCAGCAGCATGAAGTGTATTACTAACCATAGTGGGGCCTCTGTAAGTGACCAAATTAGACTTCTTCACAACCCTCACATTCCCAAATTGCACAAATAATTGCTCATTTTTCACAAAATTCACCAACTCAATTCTCTCCTCGGGTGGTGCCTCAAGATCCAAGTGCAAAACGTACTGGTTTAATGGATGATAAAGGGCTTTTAGCGTCCTCTTTAGACTCTCAAAATCCCCACTTGATCCTGAGATCAAATAGGCCAGTTTTGGAGTTCTTGAACTGGGCAGTGTTGGGGTTTTATGTAGCTTTGATTCTACAAAAACTGGAAGTTGAGGTTTGATTTTGGTAGATTTTTTGTGAAATGGGGTATCAGAGAAAAGGGTTAATATCATGAGTAAAGAGGATATCAAGAGGGAAAAGACTAATGGGAGGAACCATTTTTTCTTTTGTATTGGTTTGTTAAGTTCCATTGTGGAGATCTACTCCAAGATTTGTGCTTCACTTCTGGTTTTACTTTTACATGGAATTCTTTAATGCCTCCACAATCTTCTGTTTATTTGGGATTTTCATTTTTTGGTTTTTTCCAGAGCAAAAGGTGTGGGGTAGTTTTAATCTATAGTCTTTAACATGTTCTGCACTTTTATTTCATCATATTTATATTTTCACTCTTTTACTTTTAGCTTTAAGGTGCTCAAGCCTATTCCCTCTTGGATCTTCGTTGTTTCTTTGGATATGTGGATTCGACTCCTTCGATTAGACTTTCTTTATTTAGCCCCTATTTGTCATTCGTTCTCTTTCATTCTTTTCTAATCTTTTTTCTACGATACTCATTTTTAACCACATTCTTTATTAAAATAATATTATACATAAATAAAAAACTTTTCTTTCTTTTTTTAATCACACATTTAAACATCAATCACTATTCCATAATTTCAAATAATGGGTGACAAACACACCCTTAATTTCATTGTCGTTCCATGATTGTAGTCCACTTGGATCCAATTAGCTGGTTGGGCAGCGTCATAAACGGGCACAATTAGAAGAGACGATTATTTGCTTATGTGGAATGTATTTAATTTTTTTTTCTTTTTTTCCACGCTTTGGTCAATAGAATTGGAAATTTTAAGTGAAAGTTTAATGAAAAATATCAAAATAAAAACTTGGTACTTGAAAATGTGTGGAAGTAGAAGAAAGAATTTATGATTTTTTAAGGGATCGTTTGGTTAGGCTTTTGAACAGTTAAAATTCATGTTTAAGCACGTTTGAGATAATTTTTTAAAAATACTTTTATCTGATTAGAAGAACTTTTAAAACGTTAAATTAAGCTCCCGTTTTGGCCTCCATTAATTTACATTCTATTACATTTCATTTTCCCCTCTCTTATTTTCAACCATATAATCTTTCATAAAATAATATTGCACGTAAATAGAAAACTTTTCCTTCTTTCTCAACCTATCATTTAAAAAAAATATATTATTTCACCCATTTTCATTTTCATAAAATGAGGGCCAAACGGGGCTTAAGGTGACTTCTTCCAAAAAATTCTTTTGAAAGAGACAGAAATCCTAGTGGACGAACCTAAATGTGTGGGTGGAGTGTTGGTTGGGGAAGTGAAGAAGATATTTTGAATTCCACTAGCATTTGTGTGGACAGTGGACTTGCTAATGGGATTGTTAAGAGTCACATATGATTGCCTTTGTATAAAAGTCTAAAAGAGAAACAAAATTAGGGCAGGGGAATAATAACAAATGAACGTGCCTTTTCCTCATTGGTTGATTAAAAGTAGGTGTGCTGTATAAAGGGTCGGCTTATTTATTTATGAAAAATGCTCTTCATATATTATCATTTCCAAATTACTTTGCGATTCGATGAGATGCGATAAATTGATTATCAAAATCTCTTCACCACTAAAATAATTGCAGGTTAATGACAAAATAAAAAATAAATAAAAAAATAGAGGAATTTTTTATTTGATTGACGAAATTTTGGCTTAATCAAATATCTTCAAATCATCTGTTGATAAATAAATGTATAAATTGCACAACTGTTTCTTTATGGTAATTATATCACCACTACGATTTTTATCAAGTGCACCACAATTTTTAGTATTTTTCTTATTTACTTAAATAACCTTAAGTAAAATTACATAATTATGATTTTAATATACATTTTAATAAAATAAATTATTGTTTCACCACAATTTTTTCTGTTGAATTCTTTTCAGTGCCATGGCTGAGAAAATATGAGATTTGGCTATGGTTCATCTAAATAAATGTGATACTACTTTAGCTATGTAGAAAATAACAAGAAAATCGGCAAATATGTGAACTTTCAAAAAAAAGCCAATTGCTCAATAGTAGCACATCCCAATGTACAGAGGAAATTGGCGATGCTGAATCAACTGTACTACAAGTACAGGAAAATCTCACAAAAAAGTTATAGAAACATCACTTGGTTGAATTTCATTGTAGGAAAACAGGGTGCTGCCACGACAACATCCTGTATGGAATCTATTGAGATTTTCCTGTACCCGAAGTTTAAATTGTGTTGAATTATCCAAGATCCAATGCCCCTGCCCAATCCCTCCTTTTTGCCTACATGGAACAGCACGCCCTTCTCGAATGGCTATCCTTTAATTATAAATTCACCCATCTCTCCATGTTTCATCTATATATTGTGTGCCCATTGAATTACTTTCCTGTTCTTTTTAAACAAATTGTAAATTTTCCTGACTATTGGGTGATAAAATTCGGTTTCCACAACAAAATCTGCAAGGGGATGGAGTGGTTTGAAGAGTATAACATTTTTTTCCAGTTTGATTTATAGGTTGAAGCCTTGAATAAAGTTGTTTAACATGTGAATATATGTTCGGGATGGGTGGAAAGGATGAGAAAAATGATGAGTAATATTGAGGTGGTGATGAACATCCCACAATAGATTTTTTTTTTTTTCCATTTTTTATTTTTATTGAATTAGGAGTACAATGTAATTTTTTTGTGGTGAATTTACTGAAAATATATTTTAATTGTGGTGTGATTATATATGTTGTAGTAAATAAATTTTGTGGTGGCAATATAATTACTCAATTATAACTTTGAGGGTAAATTGTAATATTTTCCCCAATTTTTTTTTCAAAAATTTCCGTAAATGCCCCTATCTTTGCATTTGGGTGTAATACATTTCCAACCTTTCGGAAATTAGCATGAATTGATTTAATTGTTGTATGAATCATGTGGGCTGTGCACAGGGGTTTTTTAAGCCCCGTTTAACTTCCATTAAATTAAATTTCATTTTTTCTTCTATTTTTAATTACACAATCTTTCATAAAATAATATTACATGTAAATCGATATTTTTTGCCTCTTTTTTAATTACTCATTTTTCAAAAAATATTATTTCGCTCATTTTAATTTAAAAAAATAGAGCCAAACGGGGACTAAATATGGTGAAATGGTCACCACTTAGCCTGTCTTTGGAAAGAGTATAACTTATTTTTAAGTTGGAAATTGCAATATGGTTATTACATGGAATAATTCTAAACGAACATAGCCGACGACTTAGAGGATGACATAGCATTCACATAAGATGCGTGGGCCCCAGGGTGAATAAAAAAATGCCAACCCCCATGTGTGAAGGCTATGTCAACCTCGATGTCATCCTCTATGTTCATCTAGCAAGGTTCTATTACATGACATGTGATTTGTGGTCCCTGGGCCCTGGCGCTGATCCGGTCAAATTACATAAATTTACATACCTTCTCTAATTTTGTAGAATAATCCTCGGTGTACAGTATGGACATCGGGGAAGCACTATGTGTACATTAGTGTTGATAATGTATTTATAGCACAACTCAATTTTGTATGGGCTAATTATATTACTACTACAATTTATTTTTATTTTTTTCAGATAACATTTTATAAATTCCTTATTTATAATATTGTTTTAAATAAGCACACAACAACAAATTTACAGTTATAACCTTTAACCCAATTAGAAAAAGAAAAAGGACAAAAAAAAAAAAAAAGGGGTCCCCCCCCCCCT